CATGTGTAGAGCCTAAAGGACTGGGCTTTTGCCAAATCCATGCCTTTAATTTTTATCTGATATTCTCTCATAAAAACATGTTTTATCTATTTTACCCCAGCACAGATGCACTGCAAATGTTAGCTGACTCTGGTCTTCTAATAGCAGTGATGGGAAATCAGGGCAAAGAATGCGTTGTTTTCACTAATGCTGCTCTTCCAAATCTCAGACGATAAAGTGTCAGCTAACGACCCCCTGGGTCCCAGGCTTTCACTGGGGCCTTCTAAAATACACAAAACCAAAGTGAAGGCAGGACACCATTAGCACTACATAATTTAAGCAAACAAATGTGTTTACATTGCCTGGCTACTGACCACCCGCCTTCCCCTCCCACTAGCAGGTGTCTATATATGGGATCTGATCTCCTTGTTCACAGCCCCGGGGGAGTGAGCCTCTCTGTTGGGCCTCGCCTTGGGTGAATCTGGAAGAAATTTGGGCCCCGCCAGCATGCTCCTCCTCTTCCTCCAGCTGCTGGTGCTCCTGCCTCCAGGGGAGGCTGCAAGGGCCCCGGCCGGCGGCCAGAGGCAGAGCCCTGCTCCCCTGGTGCTCCTGGAAGGGAATCACGGAGAGCGCCCCGTGGGCACCCACGAGGAGGCTGAGGAGAAGCCAGATCTGTTCGTGGCTGTGCCACACCTGATGGGTGCCAGCACCACGGGGACAGGCCAGCAGCAGCCAGAGAAGATGCTGTTCAGGTTTGGCAGGTTCTGGAAGAAGCCTGAGAGAGAACTGCACCCAACCCAGGACCCGGTCAGTGAGCCCGTCCCACCCGGGGCCCAGGCCCTCGCTCAGCCTGAGGATGGGCTGCAGGTAAAGAAGTCTCCTCTTCAGGAGGAAGCCAAGAAGTTCTGGCACCGCTTCATGTTCAGAACGAGTCCCGCTTCTCAGGGGGTCATCTTGCCCATCAAGAGCCACGAAGTGCACCAGGAGACCTGTAGGACAGTGCCTTTCAGCCAGGTACCTGTTCTGGGCCCAGAGGGGTTCATGGTTTGCAGGAAGGGGGTGGACAGTTGAGACGGGGGTGAGGAGGGGAAGAGGCTGCCAGGAGCCCAAATCTTGCCTAACTCCCAGACCTGGTCCTTGGATATTCCTCCTAGGACTTGGCAAAGTAAGATCCTACTCCTTAAATTTCCTTCTAAACTTCCCACTCTTTCTTGGTATTCTGGAAGTGCTGCAGGAGTGGTAGGATTGTACTGCCAGTATTAGGAATTGTTCATATTGATGGCACAGAGCTTCGTTTTATGTGGTTTTATTTATTTGTTTTTATGAGGGGCATAGTCTATCTGAAGAGATAAGTAAGATTGTACCCTCAGTTAGGAAACTGGGAATTTAGACCTATCACCAGAACTCTCCCTAGCTATAGTTCTACACTCTACTAGGATGTGGGTGAGCAGGTCAGCTCCATGTGTAGATAAGATGGGATACCTTGAACTCCTCCCCCAACATACTTGTGCCCATATATGATGGTCGTAATCCCTGTATTCCACATCTGACTACTTCATAGGTCTATAAAATATGTTGAGGTTGTCAGGCCTAAGTTACCATGTCATTTCTGGTATTACCACAGCAAAAATCATTTAACTTATTTTCTCATAAGCTTTTAAAAAATAATCTTGATGTGAATCATATTTCCTCCCCTTAGTAGCACTTATCTCCTGATTCATGCTGTGTTGGTTGATTTGTGGTTATCATGATTGACTTCGCACTATTAAGTCAAAGGGGCATTCTGCTATCTAATTCCTCCTGTCCGTCCTGGCAACCCCCGTAACCCAAATGTTGAATTAAAATATGAGAAATTGTATCAGGTTCTTAAACATAAAGATACTGAACCAAAAGCAATGCAGGATAGAGTAAAATTTTACAGTCCAATAATGCTACCCAATTAAGCAGGCCGTAGTATAAGGTAATTGGAGTGCAAGGCAATTAAAGTATTCTGCCTAAAAAGGCAAGGGTATGTAACAATAGCAAGTAAACTATCAAATAACAATGACCGCTTTGTTGGCCACGTGCAATTAGAAAATTGCCCCTAAGAATCATGCAATCAAATTTCCTTTGAAACTCTTATTTTGACTTCTACTGCTAATTAAATTCAAATTAAGGTTTTGACTGTTGCACATTTTGAAGGCCACATAAAGCTAGGGGTCTGAGGTTATGGGGGACACAGAGGTAATGCCATGTGTGATGATTTGCAGGCATGTGTTGTAACTTTGCTCCATGCAACTTCATAGATTTGGATGTACGATAGGCCCTGGAGAATGGGATAGAATTAAATTCATGATATTCTGGTCTATTCTATGAGCAACTGAAGAAATATTTATAGAGAATCTATTACGCACAATGCTCTATGAGTAGAAAGGTAAGGCACATTACTTACATAAGAAGCCAGCCATTAGAATTTTTTCACCTGGTAACATCCAATTAGACAGAATTTCTTAAAGTTTGGCATTTAAAAATTAGAGTAAATTATTTTCATATTAACTTAGGGATTTCCTAAAGGCTAATTTATTTATTTACTTAATAAAAAATATTTGGTTGAGGCGGCTTTTTGCTCATATAAATACCATTACTTGGATTTTGCAAAACGTCCAAAATTGTTAAGTTTTTGAAATTTTAGTCTGAATTATCCTCGGCTGTACAGTGTATAGCTTCTGCATCATGTGTGTTAATGAAATGACACCAGATAATTCAATATAGATATGTTTGCCTTTTAGACTATCACCCATGAAGACTGCGAGGAAGTAGTTGTACAGAACAACCTTTGCTTTGGGAAATGTGGGTCTGTTCGTTCTCCTGGAGCTGCACAGCACCCCCATACCTTCTGCTTCCACTGCTGGCCTGCCAAGTTCACCACAATGCACTTGCAGCTGAAGTGCTCAGGCCTTGCCCCCGTGGTGAAGGTGGTAATGCTGGTGGAGGAGTGCCAATGCAAGGTGAAGATGGAGCACCACGAGCATGGACACGTCCTCCAGGCAGGCTCCCAGGCAGAATTTCATGCTCAGGACCCCTTTATCCCAGGGTTTTCAACTTAAAAAGCTATCCCACTATTACCTTGAAAAGCAAAACCACAATAGCCAAATTGTTACTTATTCAGCCTGGAAATGTGCAGTGGGTACATAATATTTTAAGGGAAAGGTGATTTAAAAAGTAGTAAGACTAATTTAGAGGAAATGGTATTCATTTAATTATCAGCACACGACTGGTATCTTATTTTGACTCTGCTGTTTACTAGCCATCGAATGTTAAGTTGTGGAAGCTTTCTCCACCTTGAGCTGCTCATCTCTAAATGAGGGACTTGAACTAGATGATTCTAAAGTCCTTCCCACTACTCATATTCCATGATCTATTATCTCCAAGTTTTGGTAAAATCCCTCCATCTGAATGAGGAAAAGAAAAAACCACAAAAATAGGCTTCTTTAGTAGCTTGTCAAAGCACCAGCTAATGTATATATACATAAAATTGGTAGAAGGACTCCTCATATCTATAGCCGCCTTTGCATCTCAGGGAGTGTTTTATTTGACTTCTATCAGATGATTAAGTAATTCCATAGATGTAAGGAGTAATTGTTTGGCTGCCTCCTTATTTTTGATACTCCCCATATAAAGTTATCTGGCTTTGAAGAGGGACATTGATCTTACGTTTAGTGCTTTTCATAGGGGTAGGGAGCAGTCATTGGTAGCCAAACAAGTACCTGTTTTATAGGGAAGGAAAAATAGGTTAACCCAGGCTTAAAGGTCAATCCAGAGATGCTAATGAAAGTAACCAACGGAATTCCAGTAGATGTCACATTAAATAAACTGCAAATGACTTAAAATGGAAACAATTTACAGGTGAAATTCTTTATCCACATGCATTTTGGATTAGGTAGTAAGTAAGAGTTCTGTGTTTGGATGACTGTTTTTTGCTACCATATAAAACTTCGTATTACAAATTTTATTCTGTAAATGCTACAATCGCAAGTTCTTAAAATATTCTGCCATGACATTCGATTGTCTTATATGTTGTCCTTATTTATTTTTTGGCATTTTAAATATGTTTTTATTGCCCGGCCGGGCGTGGCTCAGCGGTTGAGTGTCGACCTACGATCCAGGCGATCGGGGTTCGATTCCCAGTCAGGGCACATGCCCGGGTTGCGGGCTGCAGCCGATCAATGACTCTCTCATCATTGATGTTTATATCTCTCTCTCTCCCTCTCCTTTCCTCTCCCTGAAATCAATAAAGATATATTTAAAAATATAAAATAAATAAATAAATGTTTTTATTGATTTTTAGATAGAGAGGAAGGGAGAAGGAGAGATAGAAACATCGATGAGAGAGAACCGTCCATCGGTTGCCTCCTGCATGCCCCCTACTGGGGATCGAACCAGCAACCTGGGCATGTGCTCTGACCAGGAATTGAACTGTGACCTCCTGGTTCACGAGAGGACACTCAATCCACTGAGCCACACAGGCTGGGCTCTCCTTGTTTTGTCTGTTCCATAATTTAAAGGCACTATCTGGAGGTTACCTAGCTAGAAACATTTTGGAAATGGCTTTAGAGGCTAATGACAATGGCCTGAGTGTTCCTTCTGACTCTTCAAACTGCTTTCTGTGAAGGTCCTTCAATCACTGTCTTCTGTGAATTGTATTTGTCCCATTTTTATTTAGATGCACATATTATGCAGAGCTGGCTTTCTCTGGCCGCATTTCCTTTTCTATAATTATTCTTTAAAAATTCACCTTAGAAATTATTTTAATTATTTGGATCCCTTTGATTTCAACATACACGTAAAAAGTGTTTCCCAGAATAATGACTCTTTTCTTAAAAAAAAAAAAAAAAGAAATCAATACATATTTTAATTCTCTTCTTTACTCACACTGTCCTGGTGTTTTGAGGAAGTGAATACATTTATACTTAGTGTATATTCTACAACATCAACATAGTAGAATATGAGCTACACAGATACACATGTGGCATTTACATCAGAATATATTATGCCCTTTGGTAGCCAAAGACAACCTAATTGACTAAGATATGATCATAAGAATAGGACTGTTAAGCATTAATGATATCCCAGCTGGTCAATATATCTTGGTGCCAAAAGCTATTGAGCAGCTGCCTAGCTTGCAGTTTGCCTCACCCTGATCATGTGAACCTATCTTTGCCAATTGGACTAGACTTCTCCTCCTGACACACTTGCAAAGCCCTTTCATCTATCCTTGCATATAGACTCTCAAGCTCAGGCCCCAAACAGTCATCAGTTTTATTTAAACTCAGGCCTGCCCTTCCCTCACATGTGAATTCAAGATGAGATAGCTGATGATAGTGGTATCAGAGCTTACATTCATAGAGTAATAACATGAAACTCACAAAATTGCCCATATTCAATCATTTTACTTACAAAAAAGGCAATTTGCAATGGTTCAACATAATGCATGGGAACATAAGAAAACAAGAGGGAACACACATATATCAAACATCTATTAAGTGCCAGATACTATCCTAGGTCTTTTACATAAATTACAGAATTTATGTCATACATAAATACAAAAATTATACATTCCTCTCAAAATCTTGTGAGGTGGGTAAATACCCTATTTGATAGGTGAGGTAAATAAGTCTTAAAAAGTTTAAGCAACTTGGAGTATATTTTCTATTTGTATTAAAATGTTTGCTCATTCATTGTCCATCAACTTATATTTAAGTGTTCTAGGTCTCATGACTATAGACCTCAAAGCTAATTTCTTTTTACCTCTTTTTTAGCTCTCATATTGAAGGATATTGATGTTGTTTCTTGAAAGAGAAATCATGCTTAGGTCTGGTCTTCAGATAAGCATTGTCCTGACTTGAGAGGTGGTCACCGCATGCCTCCTCATCAATCTTTGTCTTGTTTTCCTCCCGATTAAAATTAAGCTGATAATGATTACTTCAAAATTCCTGTGCTGACCAAGTGCAACTAACAGCACATCAGGGAGTTTCACAGTCTGTAAAACTACAAGGAGTTAATTCATTCTTCTCTATTCAAACTTATTTTAAAATTTTTGTTTTGAGGAATTAAAAATACAGCTTATTTGTTGATTGATTGATTGATCAATTGGTTTTTAGAGAGAGAGGAGGAGAGAGAGAGAGAGAAACATCCATTTGTTGGTTGATTCTTGTATGTGCCCTGACCAAGAATCGAACTTGCAACCTTGGTGTATCAAGATGATGCTCCAATCAGTTGAGCTAGCCGCAGGGCTTGTTTTGAGAAATTTAAAAGACAGAAAAATGCAGAGAATAACATAACACTCAAGTTTTCACCAGCAGAATAGTTAATATTTTCTCATCTTGCGCTTCTTGTCTATTTTTTAAAAGAAATAAACCATTTTGCATATAAGTCAAGTCCCCTTTAACTACCATGCTGAGTCCCATTTCCCAAAACCCTGACCTAACACCCCCAACCCAAAGATTCCTGTTTATAATTCCAATGTCCTTTAATATTTCTGCAAACATGCATACACATCCATAAATAATATAGGATGATTTTTGTGTATATGTTCCTTTGTTCACCAGCTATGTGCAAGATGCAGCTCTAGATGCTGCAAATATAGAAAGGAAACAAGTCAGACAAGATTCTGCTCCTAGTGGGGGGAGAAAAGCAATTTGAAAATCAGTGGAGCCTGGCTGGCATGGCTCAGAGATTCAGTTCCCGGTCAGGGCACATGCCCGGGTTGCGGGCTCGATCCCCAGTCGGGCGCATGCAGGAGGCAGCCGATCAATGACTCTCTCATCACTGATGTTTCTGTCTCTCCCTCTCCCTTCCTCTCTCTGAAATCAATTAAAAAAAAATTTTTTTTTAAAATGAAAATCAATCAATTCATCCATCAATCAACTGAAAAGGAAAAATATCAGATGGCTATAGGTACAATGACATTTTAAATACATTTTAAATAATTGTTCTACAGTTATTTTTCCACACAGGATTCAGGCTTGTTTTTATAAGTTTTTAGTTTTTTAATATATTTTTAACTCTATTCTAAAAACTTGGCATTAAGTATTTCCTACAGAGAGTGATTAAATTAACTTTGATAATTTATTTTTAAATGTACATAGTCTCTTTAACCTGTCTATTTAATTCCCAATTAAGAATTTCGGTATCATCTGAATTTTTACAAAAAATTTATTCTATAATTTTTTGATTATAGACACTATACTGAGAACTCTGGAATAATTAAAGGTAAAAAGATACATTTCCCTCCACCCCACAGCTTACATTATAGTAGCAGAGATAATATATGGAAATCAATAACGATAGTAATAATGGCGACAACTACTAATTGCTGAGCCCTTACTATGTGTTCAAGTGCTTTATATTCCTCGTGTCATAGAAATAGATATTTTATACCCATTTTTTTTGACACAAAGAGATTGAGAGTGAGAGATCTTCAGTTATTCAGTTCCCAAATATTTATGATAATGATGAGCCTGGTTACTCTGATGGATACAGAGAATATAAAAAATGAATGTATGAGTATCCGAATATAATTTCTGATTTTAAGACGTTTACAGTCCAAGAACAAGTAACAATGCACTTGTTTCTATAAATGCTAGAATGATGTTTCTCCTCACCACACCCAACCCCAACTCAAATGCCACTTCCCCAGAGGCCCCCCTTAACTCCTAGACAAAGCCAGGTTCACTCTTTCTATGACTTCACGACACTGTTCACCTTCATGTCAGAGCACTCACCTCAGTTTCTAATTATCCCTTTGTTTGTGTCATTATTAGTCAAATGTAACCTCCGTAAGAGCAGGAATTATACTGGGTTTCTTTTGCCACTGTGACCAATGCCTAGGAAAGTGTGCCGCACGTTGTAGGTGCTCAAAGAGTTTTTGTCTGCGTAAAAAAAACAATATCAACGGGTATTACATGTAGAAAGTAGACGTGTTTTAGGCACTGTGCCAAGAACTTTACATACATCATTTCATTTAACCCTCGTGAAATCCTGTGAGGCGGGGAGCACTGCATTATTTTAAACAGGAAGATGATGAAGGTCATATCAATTAAATAAC